TTACTACAACTCAACTCCATCCTGCACATGGTAACTCTCTCTCCAATTACCAACTTTTGCCCCTCATTTATCTAATTTAAACCCTTACGTTATATGGAACAATTCCACGAACTTTCATCCAACATCCGTACGTATAGAACACACAAAGTAATACCGAATCCAAGCCAATAACAGAATCTTGTATTCTCACAGCCATATATAATTCTCCAACTTGAATCTCATCAATTACTGCAAAATATACATCTCATTTCCAAATTGAATATAGATATCTTATTGCAAAAGTTACACGAATCGACAAAACATAATCAATTCAAAAATTATTATAATAGTGGAAAGGTTAGAAGAATCAATGCAAAGTGAAATTCTAAGACGTGATTTTATTTTTAGTTTTTTTTTTATAGAATTCATTCTATTCTGTATTAATTATTAATTATGTTGAAGACGCGTAACTTTTTGTAAATACTAGCAACATTTAGTACGTTTATTAAATAATTTCACAATTAACAATAAATGATTTAAACATTAGATTTAAATTTGATCAATTTCAAAGTAATTTGAAATAATATGTCAGTAATTTAGTATATGACTGCGGTAGTTGGTTCCACCTGCGTCCAGTGTTAACAGTGTTTGAGGTCAGGATAATCGTGATGATAGATGATGGAAGTAATGTGTCTTAATGTAACAATCGTTGACGTCGCACATTATTTACGTTTACGAATACATCAACCGACTTATTATGTTTGTTTTGCTTTTTTTTGCAGATTTAAAAAGGGAGGCCACGATATGTCACATGCTGAAGCACCCGCACATCGTCGAGCTGCTGGAGACGTACTCTTCGGAAGGGATGCTGTACATGGTGTTCGAGATGTAAGTGAGACCTATGCAAATCGCTCCACATAAATCACAGCACCTCTCTTGTCATGGTAATTTTTTAACCCTCAACCCCCCCGAAAAAAGGTGCGAAAAGAATTAAAAAAAAAGACAGTGTAAAGACAACGACAACAGGGTAAACATTGTGCTTTCGCCCTTTTTCCCTGCATTCAATTAGGCCCAATGTTGGAACGCAATAAACTTCTACGAAGGCGAAGAAGGAGAAGGAGAAAGAGTAGGAACAGAAGGACGAAGGGGCTCTAAAAATAAATCGTAATTAATGCAGAAGTGGATGCCGGGAACAGCGATTTCAATTAGGTCTGCGGCCGCGAAGAAAACAGATTGCGGTCTGCCCCGTTTTCATTTTCATCATCGGGGCAAAATAAATTTGTAACGAACGCGATTCGATTACGGCCGCAGTGTCGGTTGGAGGAAGGAAAAGAAACACAAGGGATGTAACAGTAAAAAAAAAGGCAAGATGAATAAGGGACGAAATGCAGAGGGAGATAGAGACAGAGTGAGCAGAAATAATAGAGTTGGGCGACAAAAGCGTAAATATATTAAAGGGGAAATGAGGAGAGTGCGCTCGAAACATTACGCAATTAATTTCTGAGCCTTTGGTGGATGCAATTCCATCTATCTTCAATATCATTTTACTGACGTACTCGCACATACATATATATTCAAACACAACTTCGTTACTTTGTAATTGCATTTTGTCATAAAGGCACTACTGTGCGTTAACGCCATTTAAACTTAATAATGCAATTTCGACGCCTGGATTTAATGACGTGTATCGTAATGGGCCAAGAAAGGACAACGTTTCAAGAACAAATCACATGTCGAGTGATTTACTTAGATACTTTTACTATTTTCTTTCATAAGTAATTTATGTTATTATTATGTGTGGAAGGGTCGTGTTGCTTTAAAGCCACATAACTTGTGTACAAAACAAGCTAGGTTGTCAAGGAGACGACTATCTCGTATGAATTACACGAATCTTGCTAAGTATGTCTATTACTTTTAAAGTATCGTGTAGTTTATTTTTCAAGTACTTACTTAGGGTTTACGTAGGTAAATACTACAATGTTATACTTGAATTAATAAAAGTTACTTGGCTGTAGTAAAAAGTTCTGAGCCTTTTTTCTCTTTGTTTCGACGATGAAATTAACAAAGTTAGAATTTTGGGATTTAGATCAAATATGCGCCGTTTTGTTCGATAGCTTTTGTCCATTTTGAAGGCAATTTCATAATTTTTAGATTGAAGATATTTTTGTCTGTATTGGTAAAAAACTTGACCAGCTCATTTTCACAAGCCTCTCTTGAGGCCAGTTTTTACCATCAATGCATAATGATATAACCTCCCATCTAAGCTCTCGGAGCTTCTGGTGCGTCTTTAAAGATGTATACGGCCTGGCGATATCTTGATGGAACACAACACCCTTCCTATTGGTCAATTCTCGTCTCGCTTCTCGTCGAGCGCCTGCTTCAATCTGGTCAGTTTTTGACAGTATAATTCCGAATTGAGTGATTGGCTTGATGGGAGCAACTCATAGTGGAGGATTCCCTTCCAATCCCACCAAACACACAGCAAAACCTTCATGGTTGTTAATCCGGGCTTGGCGATTGTTTTGGCCAGCTTATCGCGGTTCGACCACGATCTTTTTCGCCTGCTGTTCTCGTATGTGACCCATTTTTCATTGCCAGTTACCATCCGCTTCAAAAAATGGGTCAATTTCGTTACGTTTCAGCAAAGAATCGCAAGCATCAATTTGCTCCAAAAGGTATTTTTTGCGTCAATTTGTGTAGCACCCATACATCGAGCTTTTTCTTAGGACCAGCCTTATGCAACTGGTTCCAAACGGTTTTCTGGCTAATATTCAGTTCCTGGACAATGGCATAAATGCTAGATTGGCCTACCAGAACGAAAACGTTGGAACCAAGGCTTTGCTGTTGCATTCCATACTGTATTGGGTCCATAAACAACACATTTATTTTTTACCGTCTGCTCCGTTTTTTCCCTTGGTCGTAGTGGCACTGAAGAATATATCGAATTTTCTCTTTTTTACCTCCATTTTGGAACGCTCTAACACATAACTGTCATAGAACTTTTTTTAAAGCGTTATGTCGCCTTTAAGTCGCGGTATAGTATGAAAAGTATACATCGTGAGGTATGGCTCACTAAAGCCATCTAACGAAAAAGGCTCAGAACTTTTTACTTCACCCAATATATCATTTGGACTGCCCTACATTTACCTGTGGAAGTAATTTAAAACAACAAATATGAAGCAACAGAATGTAGGTCATCATTTATAATATAGTCAATAATCGAGAAATAATAGTCAACATTTACTTTATCTAATTTTGAAATTTATTAATATTTTGATTGAAAGGATACACTCATACCTAAATTACATTCAATATTGAACGTATTGAATTAAAGATTTATTAAATTAATAGAAAATTAGTGAATATGAGAAAACATTATAAATAATTTCAGAATTTTCAGTAAATTTGTAACAATTTCAGTAATATTATATTTTTTCCTTTATATAATTATACTTTTCAAGCAGTACTTTCTTCTTATTCAAATTGGACATCAATGATGATGACTTTCATATATGTATTTTTTTCTGAATATATTTGATATCAAGACTCTAAAAATGTCTTTCATTTCTATCCAAACACATTTACCCGAGTCGGAGAAGAAACTCGTATTATCTGCAACAGTCTTAATATATTGTCTTAAGTTTACCACAATAGTCAAGTGAGTTATGCTCGAGTATAATTGTTTTTTTTTGGCATTCAAGAAATGCTTGAATCGATGTAAGGAAACATTCCGTAAGTTTTTACGACTGGGATAAATGTGTCCAAAAAGTATAATTTATGGGCGCAACTTTAACCCCGGTCGCGAAAGGAACGCGGCTGAAAAAATGTAAATAACTAGATTTAAGTGAGATACGAGTTTTGTGGAAAGGAATGCACACAATACACCTGAAACATATTTTAAATGCATTCTTTGTTTCTCTTCCCTATGTAAAACAATACGTGTCTAATTAATTGAATTATTGTGCATCTGAATGTAACGAAACACTTGTTCACACCTATCAAAAGAGTAAAAAAAAAGCTCTTGCAAAAAAAAAATGATGATGAAATCCATGCGACAGCGCCCAAGGTAATGCAATATATGTCTTCGAACATGAAATGTCCTTTATCGTTTTAAGTTGTCAGTGTCTTTCTCTCTATATATTTTTTTTTATATTAAAGAGCGACGACGTCAATTCGGGGAATCCTCGGAGACGCCGACGGCCATCCTTATATTTCATTGTTGCAGGAAGATTGAGTTAAATATAGTGGCAGACTCGCATGAATGCGAAGTCCTTTTTTTTCATAAAACACTCGGGGAAAAATCAGTTTTAAATGCGAGCCATATGCAGCTCGAGTATGTATTAAAAAAAAAACAACAACAACAAATAAAAAGAGAGTAACGTAAATGCGAGAGCTTTCTGAATGGAGTGCAGTCGCTCACTCAATGAAAAGTGAAAAAAATAAAAATAAAAAATAAATTTGTATGTATGTATGATTCGCTTTGGTGTATGTTTCACTCATAAATTGAGTGGGCACTAAATTATTCTCGGGTACAAGTGTCCTACGGGATTCAAGGTTATTGCGGGATTTCATTGAGCAATAAAATATGTATATAAATAATTAATGAACACTTTGGTGAAGTGAATGGACCTAAATACACAGTTGTAATGTATGTAGGAGGTTCGTTTACTGAAATGTCTATCGACCGTCGGCATCATTAACCCTTTTATTTGATATTGAAAGTTGTTAGTCTATTGTTGGTGTGAATACGATTAACTGGAGCAGTGTTTCTCAACCTATGGTCTAAAACCTAAAATTTGGAAATGGCAGCTGTCATCTTGTGTTAAAGCGAGGATCTGGTGAACTACTCTTAACAATTGGATTTCTGTACACCTGCAAACAAATATTAATATGTTAAAAATATTGAGAAATGTTCCGAATTTACAAAAGGTCATTTATCGTTACAGTTAATACAATAATAAGCAGAAATATGTTTGAATTTCATTCATGAAAACTTTCATGTTTGGAAACTTTTTTTTTATTGACATTAGATATTATTGACATTTAGCTACAAAGTTATACAATATTTGTATTACATTAATAACTCTTCACATATTTAATTAAATTTAAAATTTTCTAAAATGTTGATACGTTTCTAACGTTGCAAATTTTGAACTTTGCAAACAAATATTTTGATTGTAAGAATTTAAGCTTATTGATGTAATCTGTGGAATGTGGTGTATTGCTGTATATAAAGGGCGTCTCCGCGTTTTGTATTGACTATGCATGAATATCTTAAAAGGAATAGTTTCCCAAGAGTTTGGAGTGGTTGACAGGACCTTCTCGAAATGGCCACTCAGGTCGGCAAACCTCGCTCGTGGATGGTTTTGTTTCTTTGAAGAAAGTCATGTCAATCGTCTACAAGAAACCACAAAAAAATACTGAACAACATAAAATAACGTATTTACGTCATACTATCATAATATATCATCAAGTCATCTTCATTTGATTTTTTTTTATAGTTTTGAAGTTATACAGAAAATATATGCAAATATGAAATGATGAAGATAAAATTATGAAATACGTAATTAAAAATATTTTCTTTAAATTTTGGCACATTTGACACGTTTTAGACACATTAAAAGTTTTATATTAGATAAGTAATGTAAAAATTGAGTCGAATCATATAATAATATAGTTGCTCTTAGACTGTTTGAAAATAATACTAAAATACACAGATTTGTATAAGTTTAATATTAATATTTCAGTTGTAGAAATGTTCATATTAGTATTGTAATAAATTTGATAAAATCTACTTATTGTTGAGTATAAATAAATTGAGATGAGAGAAAACAAGAAAATGCTTGTTGTTGCTTTGTCCTGTAGGAGATGTTGTAGATGAAGTAAAAAAAAAATAAACATGCCACGTAGCAATAAATGTGTAAGTGTATGGAACGTTGAGCTGCGGAGAAAGGGATGAGTTTTTATATATGTCGTAAATGAAATTTGAGGGGAGAAAGTGTACGCTGCTGCTGTATATGTTTTATGCGTTCGTTGCGGGGGTTGAGGGTAAATGCGGACAGGATGAACCTCCCATGGGGTTTCGGCCTGGACGACGTACATTTCCCAAATGCCATTAATATTTATTAGCGACCTGGTCTCACATCGTTTGTCAATTTGTACAGAATGGACGGCTCGGATCTCTGCTACGAGGTGGTGAGGAGGGCAGTCGCAGGGTTCGTCTACAGCGAGGCCGTGGCTAGGTAATAAGATAATATAAATAAAGAATGGATGGATGGATGGATGCATTGAATTCAAACCTCATACTTTATTACACAATTTTCCAGTCATTACATGCGGCAGGTCCTGGAGGCGCTGCGCTACTGCCACGAGAACGACATCATCCACAGGGACATAAAACCGGAGTGCGTCCTTCTCGCAACACCGGAGAACTCGGCTCCCCTAAAGTTGGGCGGATTCGGGGTCGCAGTGCAATTATCGGAAAGACATCCGGTCGCCAACGCCGCAATCACCACGCCAGCCGGTAAGTTCAAAATGCACCATAATCCACCTCATCTTCCTTCCGCCCTCGATATTTAGCATCTCTCTCTCTCTATCTCTATATATCCATACGACTGCAAATTATTCAAAATAAACATGGAAAAGAGAGATGCAACAATCTGAACGTAACTTTGGGAGATTAATGTGAGATGTGTAACCGCAGAATGCCTAGTATCAGACTTCCGCACCAACCTGAGTCCACTGGGACGCCTATACCTGAAGTCTGACAGAGCTGGTAAGCCTAACTCGGCCGCTATCAGACTCTTTATTTTCTTTATTACCACCACCGTACCATTATTTTATTTATTTAAAGCTCGACTTTACTTTTATTTATTTTTATGTATTTATTTTTTTCGCCACCGAATTATTGCAGTGCCGGCGAACCATTACTTTCCTCTTGTATATCTCTCTATATATATTTATCACGTACACCCACACATCACATATCCACACATACACACACCCAAACACATAAACTTCTTCTTGACCGCTGACCGGAAAACCACAGCTTGATAGATCACGCATTATCATTTATTCATTCGGAAGGAAGGAAAGGATCTCGTGAAGCATCCGGTTTATTTCACTTTCTTCTTTATTCGGTAGTAGTACTACATGCAAACTGAAGCGATTTCGCAGAGACAAAGAAAGTTGTAACCTCGGAATGGCTAATGATCTGGTGCTTCAATGGATAGTTCGGTCGATACACTTGCAGGAAACAATCGTGGCCTGGGATAACCACAATCAATCTGTCGTCGGGATTAATTTGCAGCCGAAGGAAATTCGCATCCAATCTGATTTTCTGTTTGCCGAAGAATTAATTTCCGTAACATCGTGCACGATTTTCCATTCAATTTCTCTTTTACTTTAAATGTAACAATAATAATATTATGACTTTACGATAAATCGATTTCGATGTAGAATAACATTATTACAATTACGTTTGAAAAATAATTTTGCAACAACAATGTAAATGAATTGTTTTCTATTAGCCAAATTAATTACATAAAATTTCTTGAATGATGTTGAAAATAAATATAAAATTCAATAGATTTTTAATTAAAAATTTATATACACAATTACTCCAATTCATTCTTATAATTAAGTATAAATTACAATAAAAAAATGTATGGATTATACACTTTTACTATGAAACATCAACCGAGATTACTTCTAAACTGAATACATCTATCGACAAGCATTGTGTACGAGTTTGCCAAGAAATGTTTTACTTTATGATAGAATCGTTTAATAATACAGCATTCTCTACGTTGGAGATTCTTTTATATAAAAAAGCAGCATTAAAACTGCACGTGTAGGAGTAAACTCTTGGGTTTGTAAATAATTTAGCTGAATTTCCAAACAACAATAAAGAAACTTTTAATTATTCTTTATTACAATTAATACTATGCGTATATAAAAGTTGTTATATACTTTATTAACACCATTAATACTATAGAAATTAAAAAAAAAATCATTAATTAAAAATAGTACTATGAAGAAAGTAATATATAAAAAGTTACAATTACAGAATGTCGAATTGATAATTTAAAATATATTAAAAAATCTATTTTGCAAGCGATTTTCTAGAATTGCAAAGTTTCAAATGTATCTTTTAATTACGTAATTAGCATAGTGGTAATTGTAGTTTTATCGGTGCTACGAGGACGGATATTGAATTAAACTGTTTAGAAAGATTTACATGCAAATCGAATCGTGTAAACCTCACTCCAACGCGTTTAGCTCGAAGCTAGTACATTTAATATGGAATGCAAATCCTCAATTATCACTGAATTAATTAATTATTTAGTTTTGAAGTAATTATACAATTATTATTATTTATATGACAGGGAGAATACATATATAACTAAGTTGGAAAATAATATTAATCAAAATCTTTCATATAAATTAAAGTTTTAAACATTTTAATTAGTTTATTCAATATTCATATACATTAATGAGGTCGAAATGTATGTCAGATTCCAAACAATTATTTGTAACATGCATTATTATTCGTGTTATGTTATTTCATTATTTTGGTTATAATTATCAATAATTTACATAAACGTAATTACGGAATTTACAAATTTAAACATGAACAGTTGTAAAACAACAAACAACAATTCGAATATTACTCTATTATAACTTTAATTAATTTACTGAAACAACTAGTAGCATTAATTTATTTAATAAGTTATATTTTATTTTTTAAGAAATATGCAGTTATATCATTTTTTTTTACGATAATTAAACGTTGCATTTTACGTTATAATATTAGTTTAAGTGTTAACAAATAAGTGGTTCAATAAGAGTGGAATGAAAGAATCCAGGTTCAATATTGGGAAAACCGCTCGTCGAATAGCTTCGGATGGAAAAGCGGCGGGAAAGTTGAGTTTTCCAATTTACATAAAATCAGCGTGTCGAATCATCACCATCATCGTTTCCATTTCACTCTTGAAGCTTTAGCAGAATTCGATCGCATGCCGTAATTCCGTACTAGGCATTGCACTGTAATACCGAACTTCCCTCGCACACAAACGCCTTCATCGGCGACTTTTCCTTATGCACACGTTACGTGATTGCGTTTCCATTAAAGGAACTTTGTTTCCTTGGAAAAAAGGAGTTGGTCAGAAGTTCGTCTTACAATGCAACTCCTTTTCGTTTTTTTCTTGTTATTGTTGTTTGCTGCTGTTGTTTCATACACGTACAAACATATACACATTATAGCACACATGAACACCGCTCACAAAAGAATACGCTCTCGTTTTTTTCCCTTTCTATGATGATTATGTTTCGTCTGTGGATTTAGGACGGGTCGGATGTCCGAGCTTTATGGCTCCGGAGGTGGTCGAGAGGCGGCAGTACGGCAAGGCCGTCGATATTTGGGCGGCAGGAGTACTGCTGCACATCCTGTTATCCGGAAGCATGCCCTTCCACGGATCGGGGAGAAGACTCTTCGAGCAGATCTGCCGCGGAAAATTGCACGTGAGTAGGAATGCATTATGGAAATTGAAAAATTATACTGGTTTTTTTTTTGGGACAATCCCCCTGTTCCGTTGCCATTAGCATATAAGAATCATATAGGCCTACCACCGCAACCAGCGGTGGTTGTTGACATCCTCATGACTGAAACAAGATTTGAATTTTAACATTTACTTGTAATCTAAACTAAGCACGTCAATCAATCATCGTTATATTAATTCAACAGAGTAAACATTTAAGAAACTTTTATTAATACATAAAAAAATATCATAGTTTTAATACAAATATACTAATTTTACTATTAACAAATTGAAACAAATAACATTTAAAATGTTGAATCAAGAGTAAGGATATTTCGAATGTGCTGCAAAGTTGTGAATTGTTTCGCATTCCTTTTGAGCGAGGTTTGCGCCTGTTAGTTTTCAACTCATATTCAAAGCACGTTTTGCGGATCGATACTTGGGGGTTTGTTAATAATAGAGGGGCTTGGCCCGTCTTATGATGTCCTTTTGTAATTGACTACTTAAACAAATAATTGTCAATTAGTAATTATAATTAAAAAAAAAACATTATTCAAAGAATTGAAATAATGTTATAATTAATATTTTCAATTTAGTTATTTTTTTTCATTCTGTAAATTATATGGAAAAGAAACTATATAGTTTTTAAGAAAATCAGGGTGTTAAGCATTGATTTCTTTTGAAGTTGTTTTCAAATTTATAAATAATCATTTATGTACTGTGTAATTTGGATTTTATATTTGAAGGGCTATCTCATTTATACTATATAGTTTACGCAATTTGTGCTCTCTTTCACGCAACTTTTAATCCTCACGTATCCATCCATCAATAGACCAATGATGAATGGGTGTCAAGTGGAGTGATTGCTTTGCTGAAACTTTTCAGGTCGTGGATGCGGCCACCAGAGAATGCAGTGATTTGAAGTATGAATGAGGAAATTGCAGTTCCCAACGCAACCTGCGCTCTTTGGTCATTGATAAATCATCCGCAGACTATAAAATACTTCGGGGACATGCGAGATATGAACGTGAAATACCGCGGCCATTGCAAATGCGAGGCGCGAATGCTTTATAGTGAGTGTAAATCTGCGAGATGAGGGTGTCTGATATTATAAGTATGAAAGATCGCAATAAATTAATGATTTAATTTGAGAAAAATACACAGATTGAAATATTTGCTATGAAAACGATTTTATGAAGTTTCAATTTCAATAAACGTATTTTCACGTGCTGCCTGTCAACAAGATAACTGAATATTAGTACACACAGATACAGAAAAAAATGCATTACATTGAATTCGTTTTGCATGGAAATGCGAATGACAAAAGCGCGAAAATATCAAAGGGGCTTTTTAACGATTCATGAAAACAGGCGACAAAACGAAATATTAGTTGCCATTTGCATAACCGCGAAAAAAAAAACCGCATTTTTTTTCTTGTGTTTCGAAACATTTGCATTGAATTATACTGTGCAACTGGTCTGATTTTTTTTTTCGTTTTGGTCAAAGCATAATTAACTGAATTATTCCCTTTTGAGAATTAATTTTAATTCGTAATTTTATTACATGCAAATCTACACCAGTCATAATTAATATATTGTATTGATTTCAATTATTTCAAATTATATAATCAATACTTGTTTTGCATTATTTCTATAATTTCTCTTTGATGCGGTAAAACTGTGTCACTTATTAAGTACTTATTCATTTGATACAAGTTTAAGTGGAAAATAATATTTGTTGATTATATTCAATGTTTCCTTAACTTTAATATTCTTTATGTGTTTAATGGCGTTCGATTTAATATAAATTGGTTTTAGTTAATCGATAAATGTTGCTTTACTGTCGGAATTATAACTGGTAGGAATTTGTCGGATCGTGGATGTAATTGGATGAACGAAAAAAATAATTCCAGCGATTTGAAATCAATTAAATCCTCACGAAAGTTCGTTTCTTGAATAGTTTCTGAGCTCGCAATGAACGTCATGCGCAAAGTTGGAATCTCTTTTATTTGTTTTTTACATCAAGTCATATTCTTTTTAAACTGAAAACAAAAAAATATGGCTGGTAAGCCAGGATAATTGTTGATAAAGGTGAAATTAAATTTAAGAAAAAAAAAATACAGAAAAAGTAAATCGTCCTTTACGAATTGATTCCAGCTCGATTCGCCTCAATGGGAATTAATCAGCGACAGCGCCAAGGATCTAATACAGCAGATGCTCACCATTGACCCCAAGCACAGGATAACCATTCAGGAGGTCCTGAATCACAAGTGGCTCCGTGTACGTAACCGAAATCCGTAGTTGACATTAGTAGAATCGCTTAATGCTGTGCTGTGTGTTCGAGGAAATAAACACTTTGCTAACGTTTTTTGTTTCTCGCGTTTTCTCCAGGACAGGGATAAAGGACTCAGGATCCATCTGACCGACACCATCGATGAGCTGAAGCGGTTCAACGCACGTAGGAAATTGAAGTCGGTTATAACGAGCGCCGTTAATTCGAGCAAGTGGAATCCGTTCGATGATCCGAACATCGATAGCTATTCAGATTTCGGCGATGATGAAGTGTCTTCGTGTGGTGAGTGCAGCCACTCTTTATTTACAATCGTCCATATATTTTCCGCTTCCTCCTCTTCATACTCCACATCCACATCCGCATCCTCATCATCCCACCGAATGAATCGTGGAAAATTTAATTGAAAAACGTAATTGACGTTAAATGAAACGGGTTTTCATCCGACATTTGCGTGCAAAAACCAATAACCGATGCGGACTCTTTGTTTTTATTCGTTTTCATTGCATATTATTGTTAATTATATGAGATAACATGAAAAGCGGATTCAGAAAAAAAAATGGTTAGTTAATGTTTATCTTCATTTTCAATTCGAATTACGTCACCATTGCTCATTATTATTTCTATACAGATGATTTTTCCAACGAAACAATAATTAATATTAAATGTATATAAATTTTATTATTGATTTTCAAAATTGTTTCAATTTTGTAAGGTGTATAGAATATGATAATAATATGTTCATAAAGTATAGAATATAATTTATGTGAGATTGTGAATTCTCTAGATGCTTCACTATACGTTCAGATACGCTGTAATCGTACCTTAATCACCGAATAGGTGACCCAAGGGATACCCATAACTTCAGTCTTATTAGTTTGCAAACTACTTTCCCTAATTTGTTCGAGTCCGATGTGAGTAATCGAATTATAAAGTTTCGTAATAAGAAACCGTAGGTTTTACACCCACTGAACATTTTTAGGTGAGTTAAATACTTACAAAAATCATGATTTAAATTTAACTGTTCTGTACGTTGGAGTTAAGTAATCTACATTTAATTAATATTAAAAGCATTTATAGTTTTTTTTTCTAAACATATTTTTGAGAATATTTTATATAGTTATTTGTGTAAGTATAATATTGTAGTTAAGAAAAGTTGAATTATTTCATTATGTATGTACTTGTTGTTTAATAATGGTTTCGAATATCATTGAGGTCAACACTAAAAACTTAAACTGAGCAATCTTAGTGAGAAGTTAAAGGCGCGCCACTATATACAGAGATATAATATTATGCATAATCCATTCGGTTACGAAGTCGGCAGGAAATTCCAAAAGTCAGTTTGTGGACATAATGCGGATAGATTAATACAAGTTGTGGGGGATGGCGTCCGCCCTATTTCGACCCCGTCTGCAGCATTAATTGAATCATCATTGTTCGTCCGCGTTTACCGACGCGACAAGTTATTTTCCATTTGCCATTATAACCATTTAGTAAACACAGCCGGTTCGCTATCAAAAAGCAAACTTTAATTACAAAACTCGATCGGCCGCATCTCGACCGTTAACAAATTTTTGTGATAATCTAGTTGAACTTTCGACCCCGAACTCTCGAGCACGAGGCCTCGAATCGCGGCTCATTAATGTGCCCGAATCGCAATGAGCTGGCAATGTTTGCCGACGGCGTTATGGGATCCTCTCTTCGCTATTATTGAGGAAAAGAACGTGAAGAAGGATGCTGTTCGAGTTAGGAAGATCGAGCAGAGCAACGTGGGCAGCGCGTTCGTGGTGCAAGCCGGCGATGAATGTAGTTTGTTTATCAAGTGTTTGCTTCCGAGCGACGGAGATGACTTCCAGTCGATGGAGGAGATTTATTTTGGAAACGAAGTGGTGTTCTACGGTGAGATCATGCGTGACTTCTTGCGGGTTGAGAACGAGGTGGATGGATTGGAGAGGAGGTTGACGAGTGTACCGAAGTGCTTGGATGTGGGAAACGGGTCGGTGCCTTTCATCGTGATGGACAACCTGGTGTCGCGCGGCTACAAGGGTCTGGACGTTAAGCGGCCCTTGAGCGTGGAATGCGTGCGGTTGGTCCTCCAGCAACTGGGCAGATTCCACGCGATGTCCTTCGCCCTCAAGCACAGAAGACCGGAAGCATTCCGCAGAGCCACGAACAAACTGCGAGAAACGGTATTCGCTTCTTCCATGTTCCCCACGTACGGAAAACTCTTCCTGCACGCGATCCACGACGCCCTGAAACTCGCAAAGCAATCTCTACCGAGCGACAGCGTTTACGTGTCGAAATTAGCCCTATTCACCCTGAACATCTTCGATTTGATGTCGGATCTGGCTTTAGCCAATCCTTATTCGGTTATAACGCACGGAGATCTTTGGTCGAACAACATCCTCTGCAAATACGACGAAGAAACAGGATTCCCAGAAGATGCAGCGTTTGTGGATTTCCAAGGATGCAGACACGCCTCCCCCATTCACGACCTCATGTTCATCATGCTCCTGGCCATCGATAAGAGCACCCGCGACGAGTTCCGCGAGGACCTCTTGAAGTGTTATTACAGCGCCCTCAGCGAGAAACTCGAAGATTTGGGCTGCGATTCGCAAGAATTGTTTCCTCCGAAAGCCTTTGATGCTGAACTCGGTAAACAATCGCGGTTCTCCTTAGCAATGGCGCTCGTGGGTCTTCCGCTTTACATGAATAACAGATCGATGGGAGAAAACACACCTGCAGGAGGCGACGAGACCGTCGACGATTTGGTCGAGTTCGTGCAGGGAATTTCAGCGAGGAAGACGACCAAATGCAAACATAAAATGCTCGAAATCATCATGGATTGCGTCGACCAGGGATATCTAGACTGATTTTATTGGGCACGGCAACAGCCGAAACAAAACATAAACGCAACAAACAGTTGCGGAATTGATGGCCATGGACCAGAATGCGAATTAAACTCGCAATATCAACCATAGCGAATTGAACGTTTGAACCCTTCCCCACGGGTTTTCAATATTTCGCCCGATGTTTTTGCGCTGTGCGGTTTTTGTTGCAACAACAATATAACTCGGACTGCCGGAATTTGATAACTTGTAAACGTTATTTAAATTAAAAAAAAAAACAGTACAAATTAATGGAAGACAGTCCTTTTCCTGTTAACATTTTATTGAAAAAAATAAATAAATTAAAAAACAAGTTGGTAATTTATTATTTATGCCGCGTCGCTCATCTTTTCGCAATTTGTTCCTCACTTTAATGAAAAATCCTCAATTTGTCACATCAGTTACAAATTCAGCTAGTTGAATTTATGTTTGAAAATAATCCGTTTCGTTTTGGTTGACCTTTATTCAGCACTTTGTAAACTATCTATGTGCGACATCTGTTTGCTACAATAGTTTATTTGTATACTAGAAAATTTTTGGGAAAATTTAGTTTAATATAATTTATTTTTTTAAATAATACCCTTAAAACTTTTGGTAAATTTTTGCATACCGAATTTGTTTTGCACTTTTAGTACGCTATATGTACGACCTAGTTTACGTCCATTGTAGTAATTATCCGGTCCGAAAAATTTGGTGGTCGCTTCATTAGCCTTGGCTCGGTCATCCAACGTAAAAAGTATGATCATAGTTAAAGTTTGCCTCAGCGGATTCGTTCTTTCATAAATCAGCGTTCTCGAAGCATAATCAATATTTATTTTTCCATTCCGAAATCATAAACAACTAGTGATTTAAATAATTTATAATTCTGTTGTTTATTAAGTAGCTTAACTAGCACATGAATTTGTTCATGCTTGAAACTACAATTCGTCGCAACTCCATACAGATTAAATAACGTACGGCTATAATCCAGAGTTTGAATCGGTCACACAATGGTGTGGCCTTGCATCATAATACATTGCACTGAGATGATGCAACCAGCAGACGTCCTCTGCAGTAATCATTTATCTCATGTGCCACATACCTGTTAATGCACCTCCAAATTCCATTAATAAAGGTTAAGCAAATTAACCCAGGTTTGAATATGTAAAAGTTAAATTACATCAATTATTTCGTTATATACAAGAATAATAATGTCTTTGTATATTTCCAGTACTTTGTATTACATTGAACTCGAGGAACGATTTTACTCATATTTATATAAAAAATAGAAAAATACACATCTAAATAAATATAGATGTGTAGTTTTTTCTAATAAAATACTTTCAGAGGACAAAATGACCCAAATTAGGGCGAAGAAAAATTTGTATCCAATTAAAAGCGATGATTCGGTATTCATTAATTATTTAATATATCTGAATAAAGCATGAATAAAGTCATAAGATTCATCTTCATTATTATTGTAATTTCTTATAAATATCGTATTAACTGTTGCTTCTTACATTATTTTTATACATTTTCTTACAGATTGAGATTTCTATAAGCTGAGGTAACAAAGAAATCGTTCCAAACAACCTGTAGCTTCAAGTAAAGGTCATAGTTCTTCAACGGAATTGACAGCTTAGAAATATTAAATTCTAATTAATTGTTTTTTATTGTATAAAATATTAATAATGTTGAATAAGTTATTAATAATATTTGAGTAAATCTTGAATTAAATATCCTTGATCATGTTTTTATTGGATTTATTATGATTATTTCAATTAATGTTCAATAAACATATTTTTAGCTTAAATTTTAAAAGATTTTCGAACTTTTCATCTGACGCTAATTCGTTGAAACAAAGCCGATCAAAGGTCTTTAAATTGTAAACGAGAAAACAAAACTCGCAGTCTCTTTGACTGGATGAAGGCGGTAGAAAACACGCATCTTGTCCTTTATTTAATCCAACTTCAACTCCCTCTGCATCTTAACAATTTCCAATTATACCCTCTATCTCTTATGTGTCTTGAATAACATAATTTATTATCATTGTTTGTTTTGTGTTTGTTTTGCAGCTGTACAAACGATAGTGAATAGTTTGGACGACATAAATTGCCTGCAGGAGTCCCGGCCCGAGGAGCGCGCGCATCTCATGTCTTTGCTGGAAGACTCGCATCTGCACGTCCTTCTGGAGGTAGGTGAACCGACGGACGCGGCGCGCCATCCACTTTGAAAGGGCGCGTTTAATCTACGCCCCTACGAGTTGGATTCAATTACGGCACGCTGGGGGAGGGCTCGCATGCATCTCGCAGCTACTAGGGCCCTTTCTAGTTTTTGAACCTTATCGATTCCAGTAATTTAATATTTATCTGCGCCGTAACACCGATGTTCCCCCTCGTGTCGGGAAGCGACTTCTCACCCCGAGCTATTTCGCATCCGTTCGCGCGACTTTTTTCCCTCCCGTCCAATTATCATCGTTATTAGTGTACGCGTTGGATGGTGATAGCAAAAGGGCTGCTGCTTTTAATAAATTAAGTGTAGTAAGATGGTTAAAAAAGCGGCATCATCAAAGAGATGCAGCAACCTCTCGCATACTTTTTATTTGGTGTGACCCTTTGAATCCGCCACCCGTTAAACTCGATTATTGTCTTTGGTCCTTCCTCACGTATGATTCTAACTAAATGCTTCCCGCTCCTTGCAAATCCTGTACAGTAAATGGACGCTGCTGGCAACGGCCTAAAAGCGTCGATGCCCTAAGTTTACTACTATCGATGTGAGTTGCCTTGTGCATTTGGGGAATAATTAATCCCTTTGAAACCCATTACTATCAATTATTTTGCTGCTACACCGCTCAAAGAGATTCTTTATACAGACGCTGTAAACAATGCTTTGTTCGAAACTATGCTATCATAACTGTATTTAGTTTCTAACAATTTAATAGCTTTCCTATTAATCTGGTTGTTGAACATCAATGTTCTTTAATACTCTTTCATTATTTGTGCTTCATCCACTCAATTAGGTATACATCTTTGTTGTCACCCAATACATTGCAAATTTTATATTTATTTACAAAAAACTTGATATTTCTTTTACAACTTAATGATAAATCGGATTAAATAAAATTCATTAATTTTATTACGAAAACATATTAATAGGAGATCTGATCACATTATGAAGGTGCTAAATAAAATAAAACAAGTTTTTCCTGAAATCTACGTAAGGGGAGTTAACTTGGTTATAGCGATATCGGTTATAATGATAAAACGATATTAACGACACTCGATTATAAAATATGATGCAATTTATTAGTCTCCATTTATAATCATTTTACGATCTTGAGATTTTGTGAACTAAATGTAAAATAAAACTAGTTCATTGTTAATTTTACTTAATGGTAGTTTCGTTTAGTAATTAGTTTAGTTCTTTCAAAATTATCTTCTTTTAGTACTGATTATGCGACCTTGAAGATTGTTCTTAGTCGATATGTAGAATGAAGAATCAATTAAAATCTATTTCCGTGCAGCACGGTAGTAACATCTCTTTATATCGATTATATCATGGTATTCATGCAATGCACGAAGAGAGGTAGCGCAACATTTTACTTGCTTAAAATAGAGCAACGGATTCACGTGCAAACAGACGATGCCCTCTGCATATTGATAATGTTATGTCATATTCATTGGATCTCTACATTTTTTTTTGCGGTTTGCTCGAGATTCCGTGAAAAATGGCTTATTTTACTTACTAGCAACGACCACTGAATTTTTAAAAAGGTTTCACGCATTCGCTACGTGCAAATATTTTATTTCTTGTGGCAAGCCGAGATACAGACTCTGAAACTAGATGTTAAGCTGCTTATGGTCCTCCCTAAGGATATGATCCAAAATGTACGTGATATAAATTGGTAAAATAAGTTAATTTCATGTTTTTTTTATTGATCGTTTGTATAAAATTGAACATTATTAGTCGAAATTTCAATCAATTTATTATATTTTTTGGACCACAAGACAGTTAATATCTGCTATAATTTTATATAAAAGAATCACGTTTTTTCTAAAAATAATCTTGTTATGTTTTATAGTGCAAATATATTATTGGTTACAGACGAATTTTGGTATTCTTTGGAAATTATATAAATTTTAAGGTAATCCGTTACAAATTGAAGCTATTAATAATTTGAAAAGATTGAGATTTATCTAATTTAGCAAACTTTAAAGAAATCTATGCTCGATCCGAATTGCTAAAAAATGCGATTTTGAAGATGTTCGCAGCTGCGGCAGATCCGATTTTTCAAGAAAGCGGTCTCTGGATTATCTATAGGGAATGCGCGGTTTACGATTGGATCCGATAAAATAAATCGTCCGTAATAAAATGAAATAATAATAATAAAGTATATATACTGAGCGTTGGAGATGGAAAGAGTGAAAACGATTTTGCTGTTTCGATATTGATCATAAATGCACTTTGCGTGTAAGCTCCGCACCATTAAATATCCCTGAACATATATGATTTTTAAAATATCCTCTTATGCAAAAAAAATGCAGTTTGTTTTCATCTCTCTGTTAATTTTTACTTCAATTTCGAGGTGTTTTTTTTGGTTATTTCGACATATCCTAAAAAAATCCAACATGTGCATTTGACATCGACCATTCGGAATTGGAACAACCCTCGAACACCACTAAATCCCCGAAAACTGTGCGGGGCTTTTCGATTAATTGAATTATATTAAATATTTCAACGGTACGCAAATTCGCTTCGCGTTGTGAACACATTTAGCTTTTTTATTTTTTCCGTAGTTTTATCGCTTGGTAACAACAGCAAGGGAAAAATACTGCGGATTTGCATAATGGTTCGGGCGACACGCAACCTAGCCTTTCCTTAGTTTGCAGTAAAAAAAATATATATAATATATATGCTGAGATGATTAACTTCAGGAGTTTAGTGCGTGGGCGTTTTCGTTAGATAAGATTATTAATATTATTATTAACGTCGTAAATCTGATTAAATAATGGGCCGGAATTAGAGAGGAGTGTTGGGTTTTATAGCTTCGCATGCGTTGATAGAGATGATGAAGTCATTTATGCGAATACACATGACAAAATTGTATTGTTTATTTCAATTTCAAAATATCTTATTTTATGTTTCTATATGAAAATCCAGGATTAGAGTACTGTATAGTTAATATTTGACAATAGTTAAGGAACATATCAAGATTATGATGGGTGATTATGATTTGATAATAGAGATCTGTTTCTTCCTAGTATATCCAAAAAGTAAGTTCCTAAATCGTTGTTGTTTTCATGGCTTTATTTATTCTTGACTTCTTTAAAAACTTCTTTTTTGAACACTATAAGGTTCTTTGTTTAATAATAAAAACAATTATTTTTACCATAGAATAATTAGGAATTGCTTAACTTTTGTTTACAACGTAATGTTAACTAATCTATATTCTTCTAATTACATTCATGGTATATGCGTGATATTTTTCTATTAAATTATTTGTTATTTTTTGTTATGAAATATTTATATGTTTGTTTACAAAGTGGACTTGTTTTCACGTGAGTCACGCAGGTCTAAGAGGGGGGCTGAAAATAATAAAAAAAAAACGAAAAAAAACTTTTCGTAATATATTAAGAGTGAAACAGAGCCAAACCCATCTCAAAAATAAGACTGGAAAAGTTTCAGTCGGAAATTGGAATGCGACTCATCGACGAGGGTGGATGAAAGTAGAAAGTAGACGATTTCCTTATTAGTATTTGAGGAAAACAAGAAGCGTGGCGTAGCGTTGCCAGAAATAAACGCCAATCCAATATCATTTGCTTCAAACTTTGTTTTTAATCCTTAGAAACCATTTAAAATTGAAATATTTGATTCCCATTATTAATTTTGAAAGATTTGTTACCAATATTAATTAATATTTAAAATCTAGTGCTAGATTGAATTAAGTAACTATTGGATAGTTAAATTATTGTCGAATAAATTTACAGATTATCCAGTTAATTTTTTCATCTGCTACTTTCTTTCGAAGACGAAAACTATTATTTCTATTTGTAAATCCTTTTAACTAGAATTATATAGATAAGTTTTGGTATTATTTTATTTAATGTGTTTTCGTTAATTCTAACTTATAGTAATTTTAAGTTATTCACTTCTGAAATTTGACTGTTTGAGGTATTATTTTGTTATTTACTGTAATTCTTTATAAATCTTTATTTAAATCGAAGTAATGTTTATAACAAAAATAAGAAACTCTTGTACTCTTTTCATTCAATTTTTAAATATTTGCATTATGTACTTAAATTCAAACATACTTTGTTATTTAGTGTTTAAGATAAATAATTTAAAAAATTGTAACATAGTTTAGGTCCTTTTTGTGTGTGTATATTTGTAAATGAGATGAGAATAAATAAACATGAAAGTTTTCTTTCTTTGCAGCTGTACGATCGGATAGCCAGCAAAGTGGTGACACCTGTAAGGGCGCCTCCGAGCGACGCCGTGCAGAGGGCGCGCGACGCCGCCGACGCTCTCAGGGAGATGGAGCATCGTCGCGACGCCGACCACAGGGATTTGCAGGAACTTCGGGACCTTCTTTGCCGGCCTCACATCAAGGTATGTCTATCGATTTCTCTTCTCCTTACTTACAGCATCCTCAGCTCAGAAGTCTGATCTGGCTGGTAGATGACGTTACATGTTTCATCAGAGAAATAAACAAATTGCCAGTAATTATGGAAAAAACTCTAGATTTTTATTAAAGTATTTTGATAAATACTTATAGGAATCTTAATTTTATGTTGGAATTGCATAGCTTTTTTTTTGGAATATATCTTTACATAACATTATTTTCAAAAAAAAATGTGTTTTTTCGTTATAAGTTTAATGAGAATGGAAAAAGTAATACTGATTAGTTGATACATTTTCATAAAAGAAATATTGAATTATTTTGTATTACATAAATGTATGTATGTACATAATTAAATGAAAAATTTAATTCAGATATATAAAAAATAAATGGAAATATTCCATCGAGCAATTGACCTTCCGCCCTAGATTTAATTGCAATTAAAGTGGATGCAAATGAAACAGCTTCAGATGTAATTATATAAATCTGCGATGCGGACGATTTTCTGCGCGATATAAATGGATTTCATTGGATTTTCTCGCTCGGTCTCCACATTTTTTGTGTGTGAGTGTGCCCTTGTCCCTTTTTCGAATCTGGATTTATGCTACTGGCAATATCAGCAAATCATGTCTCGATATTTCCCCAATAACACAGCTCTCTCTCGACCCCTTTTACCCATTTAAGGGGAGAATATGAAACGTATTGAAATTCACCAGGAAGAAAAAAATAATATATATATTTTATATGGCACAAAAACGAAATGGCAGGAAGCAAGTATAGCATCCAATAACCCGAAGAAATATTATATATATATATGTCGTAATTTAGTTTGAACAGAAGCAATTTATTTTCATGGAGAGAAACGTGATATAATGTTCAGTTTATGGTCATAGATTAGTCAACAATGGAAAAGTGGATTATATAAATTAGTTCAATTCATAATATCATGGAATAAATGAAAATATGAAGAGTATATGTAAAAATATTTATTTTATAAAAATATTAATCAAGAAGAAAATGTTATTTATTTAGTCCTAAAATTTGGTTTATTTTCATTAGAATCTATTTGTAATATAGTGTTACTAATATTTTTTCTATAGATTTTTCAATATTCGTTAAGACCTTTTTAAGAATGAAAGAATTTAAATCTTCTTAATTAATATTGAAATAAATTGATTCTAATGAATTATTTTTTTTTGTAAATGAGTATCGATATTAATTGTTGATTTTGTTTAAAATGTGCCTTTTTTTTATGATAAAGTCTATAAATAATTTTTAATAGATTAACAGTAACGTATAGTTTTAGTTTAAATAATGTTGATATAAATGTATAATGTATAAACCTTGTAATACTAACATGAGTAAGTTTTGATGAAACGGTGATGAACGTTTCTTGGCGCAATTGCAATTTGCAGTCGTTTCACGTTTAACAAACTGTTAAAGAAAATTGCTCTTCGCTATCGGAGTTTTGTTTCCCTATGCGTCCGATCTGAAGGGTCGTTCGCTTTTCGAAACGTCTGGGGCATTCCTTCAGAGCTCAGCATAATAGTCCAGTTGTTTGGAAAATAAAGTTTCACGACAGCTGCACAACACCACTCTAAATGCCCAATAACAAAACCGTTCTCCTCCTATCCGATTTCTACTTCATAATAAAAAAAAAACGTAAATCACACAGATAAACCAAATCCGAACGATTAATTATCGAATTCCCAAGTTTCTGAACTGATCCAATACTTATATGTTGGTTAAGTGGATGTTACGGAGACGGGCTTAAGCAAATATTTGCTTCGAGTTGAATTTTTCGCAGAGAAGTTCTCGGGGGAGAAATTTAATTAGGGTCCAAACGGAACATGATGGAGAGACAATGTCTCAAAGTTCTTCGACGAAGTACTTCGAGCTGTGTTTCGGTCTTGGTGAACTTTAAATACGTCCGTTGCACAATTATAAAACAATACCGATCTCTCGTGATTGTTATTGCTCTGGTAATTACTAGGCGAACTCTGCGGACCCTTTTCTCTCTATCTCTCTTTCTCTCATTTTCCGGAAGCTCTTAGATGGAGTGCAGTATTGTCGGTGTCTCTCGTTTTGGTCGTGCGGAAAACCCGACGGAACGTAGTTTATCGGAGCAAATAAAGCCATAGCGAAGATATTGCCACAAATGCTCATCTTTATTTCATCTCTTCGAACCAATACCGCAACTATTTTATACATCCATCTGCAGACATCATTTAGGAGAGGAAGCGACAATAAATACATTGTAGTTGACTCTTGCTGTTTGCTATGGGTTCGGTTTGTTCCATTTATTCTATATATGTATTATTGCTTTTCATTCCCGAACAAAAACCCAATTCGTTTCTCTATAACCGGGACATAGGTTTCGAATCGGTGACGAAAACATACATAGTTATTTCCTGATTTTAATAGAAAATATATTTCTTTCATTGCTGAATGGATCAACGTTATTACACCATTACAATAAAAGGCTATATTTTTATTGTAACCCTCTTTAGTAACTCATAACATTTCAATTTCATATCAGTTAATTTAGATCAAGGGTCTCCAAACTACGGCCAACACCACTAGTTGTGTATCAAGTTTACTAGTGGAAATTATGAGCAGCGACTTCAAATGCTCATCAGTTAATTTGGATTTGTATATTTCATTTTGTAGAATGTCTTGGCTCTCGAGTTTTAGTGGAGGAGTCATCAGTGTGGCCCTTTGCCTAAAAAGTTTGCAGACCCCTGATTTAGTAAATTAATTTCCATATTTACTATTGATTTATTTCATTTTTTTAAAATTAAATTTCTGTTAAAGTTTCAATTAAAAACATAGAAAATTATAATTTATCAATTATATTATTAATAAAAAATTTAATAATGTTAAAAATTTCTGCTATATTAAAAAGAAATATATTTAATAAAGTTATTGTTAGTAACTTTATTGATTAATTTATGTTTTAGTTCGAATTTAAGTTTGTTTTCATGAAATATGTGTTTTTATTGATCCCGAAAATGAACAGTCGTGCGAAATATCGGTTTTGGGTCTTAAAAACTGAAATGGCAGATTTACGTTCGAGCAGACCGTTTCTCAAGCCTCGACACAATCCACTTCTCTCCCTTTTTCTTCCACCCTCTCACAACTTTCCAATATTTGTTTTACTTTCTTTCCGTATACACACAGACACACACATCGGCAACGTCGAATTTAATTGTGATTTAAGTGGAAATTCAGTGCAAAATTATCGTCGGCAGTCGTTCGTGTGGCAGAGCGCCGCGAGGGTAGTTTATTGGAATTTATTGGCTCGGAAAGAGTTCAGAGATTATTGAAAGAAATTGCCTCGGCTTTCGGCGCCGAAATGATTTATACATCTTCCATTTTTACACCAACCGTCCTTTCTTCCAACGTTTTATTTTGTTTTATTTTATTTATATATATGAAAATACGTTTTTTTGCTTCATCCATCTGTCGTTCGCCATTTCAAATTTCCGGATTGCAGAACAAACGGTTTTTAATTTTTTAATTAAAAACAAACCAAAACAAAACTAAAAAAGCGTGGGTGAGCACGCAAATAAATGGCTTCGGGTCTTTGTTGTTGTTTTTGTTGTTTCTGTTTTGCTGATTATTGATTTCAGCTCTGAAACTCGAATGGATATTGCTGAGGGGGTGAGTGAGTGTGGGCGGTTTAGCGAGGGTGTCCGACTTGCGGGAACAGGTCTCTTCCATTGTCTCGTATTAATCTGGAACTGCGGTCTGCCCAGAACATTATCCTTCTGTTCCATCCCTTTGAGTCCTTCTTACTATATTGCATTCTTCTGCTGCATGATACAACGTTGTCCCATTCAGCGTAACATGCTTTGTGTGTTTTGCGTCTTCCATACTTGTCGTTTTTTCTGTTTGCTCGTTTTTCTCTATTTCTCGTTATGTTGTTCGCTTTTCGCGATGGATTGAATGGTTTCTCATGCACGGCGAAAATTGGCTCGTTTCGAAATGGGAGCAGTTTAATTGAGACTGGGCTTCCCACGGGGTTCGGATCCTTTCCCGATTCCCAATTCAGAGCTGGTACGTTTAATTTCTCCTTCTGCAAAAGGAATCGAACGCATCAACCTAATTCCTCTTTGTTACGTCGGTAATACCTCCTCCAGTCAACCCACTCCCGCTCCTCCTCATCCTATTCCTCTCCAGAGCATCATTATTTATGATGATAAAATGCGACCTAATTAATAAGAAGCTTGTCACATGAGCGGCAAACAAAGAGGAGCGCGGCTGCCAACTTGGCAATAATTTACACATGCATGTGGAGCACAAAGATCTCTCGTTACTCTTGAACATGTCTGTAGGTGCAGCCGGAAGCGGAGCAGGCTCATTACCATCCTCCCACAGAACCCCTAGGCTAATTAACTTTCCTGGCTGATGCCCAGCCACCTCCACTGATTCGTTCTTCTACTCGCATTTGCAGCACCAGAAGAAACCGGCGACACTTCCGGAACGTAAATCATCGCGCGGCCGCCGCAATAAACGTTCCGTAATAGCCGCCGCCGCCCGACGCGAAGACCGGTTACATAACAAAACCTTCTCGCGTCGCGAGAACTTCGCCCATTTGTTATCATCTCGTGCCCAATAAAAGCAGACAGTATGAGAGAGATATAGAGCAGAGTTTGATTTAAGGATGTGCGATGGGGGGCTCTGAATGGAAATACGCAAATGGAGATGTGTCAGGAGCATTCAGACAGGTCGATGTTTACACGTTCGCTGTCAATCTCCTGTAGCTTTGTACATCCATTCGCTATTGGCATTGTCGAGATTCGAGCGCTCTCTCACCTTTTTTTTTTTTGCTTCTTCCCTTCCCTTCTCTTCGGTCGTTCCTTGAAATAGCTTTTCACCGGTTCGGGAATCGCGTCGTGGAATGCCGTTTGGGGTGCAATAAAGTACATGTTTTGATACCATTTCTCCTCTATCTGCAGCTGGAAGCACTAAATTAGAATACCATTAT